CCCATGATCATGGGGATGCTACCAAGGTCATAAGTGTGGGAAAATAACCCCGGTCATAAATCACTTTTTTCAGTGCTGTAATATCTTTGAAGGGTCAGTAAAGGAAGCGTTGTAAGTCGAGGACTACCTGTATTATACATTTTCCCAGGTGGTTTTCTATACACTCCCTACGGAAAAAGATCAAAGAGGTAGAACTCTCTCTGCCTCTTTTTAGGAAAATGCCACCCTAATGACATTTGGTAGATTACAGAAAAAATATCTGGGAGTAAAGCTCATTTACACAAGATATTTCATCTGAATTGTTTTATCTATCGATTTCAAGGGCTTTTATACTGAACCACACAGCTCAAAGGAACAACTAGCGGTTTGCTATGGGCGGAATAAATCACGAGTGAAGTCTACCATCAAAATAATCAATTTAATATAAATCGGGGGTCCCTAACCCCACAAGACCTATTCACACCTATTTACAACTGGGCCACGTGAGTCTTAAGTCAGCATGCACGCACGCAATTTGACTTGAATGGTGGGTTGGTGCCTGTGCATAGGCGCACACAACTCAATCATTCGCACACACATACGTGTGCGCTCCGGCCCGCCGATCGTGCAAGTTGAGCACGCCTTATGACTATAATTCCAGGCTCAATTATGGTTGTAACTTGAGGACTACCTACCGAGGAGAGATCCACCCTAGAAATAAGGAGAAATTTCTCGAGAGGGAGAAGAATTAACCAGTGGAAGGGCTTGCCTTCAGAAGCTGCTCCATTGCTGAGGTTTTCAAGGAGATTGGACAGGCAATTTGCCCAGTCTGAAATGGTCTGAGCCATCTTGAGCAGGGGATTGGACTAGACGACCTCCAAGGTCCCTTCCAATTCTGTTAAATCTGTTATTCTGGGTGCGCATCGTAGCATCCCATGATTGCTGTTTGCAACCTGCCAGCTTCTAATATAAGTGAACGGAGGAATTGGCAGGTCACCAACCCGACTAAAGCATCTTTGAGGGATTTGTTTAACAGTGGCAACCTAAGATTGCCATGACTTGTCATAAGTCAGCAATCACGTGAAGTCCTGTTTTAGGGCTGCATCATTTAACAACAGAACATTTGGCCCAATTACCACCGTTAAGGGAGGACTACTCATATATGTTTTCCAGATCCTCTTTGCTTTATCATGCGGTTTGCAAACTGGCTGCCCAAAGAGGCTCTCCGCAGAGGTGGGAGAAATATTGTCAAGCTTTTGATCAGTTGATAGCTACTGATAATGTTTGTAGCTCAGAGTTAAGCTGCGAGGTCCTTGGTGCTCTTTTAGAGCTTGGCTGTTTTCTTGCAGACGTTTCATTACCCAACTATGTAACATCACCCATAGTCCACAGATAATGAATAATGTGACGTTTATATAATTTAGCCTAAGGAAGCACACCTTCGAGTTCAGATATTTCTGCTTTTTAATCTGCTTGTGTGCTTTCTTCTGGGCAATTAGGTAATTGCCATGGTAAATAATCTAGAATAATTGAAAAACTAATTGAGATCAAATCACGTGTCTCTTCTCAAAACCCGGGTTAATAAGCCAGAGTTGCTGGGTTCATATAATAGGCTGTTGCTGGGATGTCATAAGCAGATTTTGAACTCATCATCCCCGTGTTAGTTAGAGGAAAATTGTAGCTCAAGAGACCACTTTTGACGCAAATTAATTGAAGCTTGGCTGGAGTTCTGAACTGCTACACTACAAATCTTTGTTGCAGATCACGCTGCTAAATGGCAATGTTTGAGATACTCCTGTTGTTCTTTTATCTTTCCACTATCAGCTTTCCCAATGGCTACATTCAGACCTAACATATAATCTTAGATCTTCAATAACAAACAACTTGTGTTCACCTAGCATGCTATGCCTAAACTATTGTTTAAGGCAGCTTTTCTCAACCGTGGAAACTTTCAAGATGAATGGACTTCAACTCCCAGAATTCTGGGAGTTGAAGTCCACATATCTTAAAAGTTGCCAAGGTTGAGAAACACTGATTTAAGATAATAGCCCGATTCCCCACAATGCACTTAAGACAATGGCCAGATTCCCCCAAGAGAGATCTATGGACAAACAAAACATTTTTTTTACTATTTGATTGTAAGATTAAGTTTTTTTGTTAAGCTGGAAGAAGAACCACTAGAGCAGGCAATCTTGACAGCAGGTAATTAACTTAAGTGAAAAAAAAAATGCATGATTGTTTAAAGGTAAAGGTTCCCCTCGCCGTTCCCAACTCTAGGGGGCGATGCTCATCTCCGTTTCAAAGCGCTGTTCGAAGACATCTCTATGGTCATGTGGGTGGCATGACTGAATGCTGAAGGCACACGGAACACTGTTACCTTCCCACCAAAGGTGGTTCCTATTTTTCTACGTGCATTTTTTACGTGCTTTCAAACTGCTAGGTTGGCAGAAGCTGGGACAAGTAACGGGAGCTCACTCGGTTACGCGGCGCTAGGGATTCGAACCTCCAAACTGCTGACCTTCTGATCGACAAGCTCAGCATCTTAGCCGAAGGCATCTTTACATTCAACTTTGTCTTTTCAAGACTTCAAAGGGGGCCTGCAGTAGCTTTGGGAGTAGAAGACAAGCTCAGGAATGTTTTTTTTACTTCACCCTGGTAATTGTGCACCCTCGTTTTCACACCCTTACATGAACCCCCCACCAAGAACAAAAAATAAATAAAATCCTCGGGTTGTGTACTGCTTGTTCAGATTTATTTCCAGCAAATAAAAGGGGAATAACTTCCTAAAAGCGGGGCAATAATTACACAAACCAGACTACAAATAGACTGCAAGCTTTTATTTTAATATGTATGCATGGGGAGGGAGAGAGAGAGAGAAACGTGGATTATATCTAGCAGGCTCAGAACAGAAAAATGGAGAAAAGCAGAGGCCAGCCGCGAGCTTTCTCTCTAAACCAGAGTTTCTCAAGTTTAGCGACATTAAGATGCTTGGACTTCTGTTCCCAGGATTCCCCAGTCAACCACACACTGGCAGGGGAGAATTCTGGGAGTTGAAGTCCACCCGTCTTAAAAGAGACAAGGGTGAGAAACGCTGTTCTAAATGGGCTGGCAGGAATAGTAGAAAGTGGGCAGAGGCGATGGATTGAGAATTAAGAGTTGGACAAATTATGATCACGGAGACCCAACTGCGTATCCCGCAGCGTCTCAAATAAGGAGCTCCCCATACATATGTAGGGATGAATAACCATTCCTCAAAAGCTCTATCTGGATTTTCTTCTTCCAGGAGGCTCTTCGGCGAAGGAGCATTTTCCCAAATCATTCATTTTGAGAATCACATGATCCCAGCTCTGCCGGGCTTTTAGAAGGACCCCCAAAACCTGGTTCTTCCCTCACGTATTGAGTAGGACGGCCCTGGAGCTGTCACCATAGAAGTTTCAATGAGCTTTCTTCTGTCATGTTTTTCCTGTCCTGGATTTTTATTTTTTGCATAATATTGTGTTTTTAACAAGCTACTCACTTGGGGGAAAGGAAGGTGATCGTATCAATGGAATCAAATAAACTGGGAGTTCTGAATGTCGTCACCTTTAAGATGTGTGGAATTCTGGGAGTGGAAGTCCACACATCTTAAAGTTGCCAAGGTTCAGAAACATTGAAATAGACCAAACCACCAAGGAAAAACTGTAAAGTAATATGGCAAGGGGGGTGGGGGAGGGAAGAGTCTCATTTGCTGTATCATGGGTGTCAAACTCGATCGCGCCATGTGGTATATCGTGACGTTTTTTGGCTTTGCGGAGCCAGAGTGGGTGTGGCCTGCGCGTGACACATCTGGCCCGCGGGCCACCAGTTTGACATCCCTGCCCTGTATCATCTTGGAAGAAGCAATCTGCTCTGATGAATACGAGTGAATTTGGATCACTCAGATTTGATGCGGGAGTGTTTCTAATTCCCCATGGAATAGCTCCCCTCCTCTCTTGCGTGGCAGCCGTTCCTCGTGGAGGAATTCAAAGTGTATACCGTCTCATAGTTATATTTAACATCTTCTGCGTTGTTATATAGAAACACGCCAGCCTTCCAAATAGACATTCGGATTTAAGCTTCGGCATATATGTCTTCACTCCTGTTTTCACAGACGAAATATCCCAAATAACAATATCCCAAATCATAATTGTCTTGGGACTGAGTTACGGCATCCTGTAACTCAAAAGAGGAGTGAGGGGGAAGCAAACTGGCATCTCTCCCTCCTTCTCCTGTGCATTATGGGCTCATCCCCCAAAATCTATAAACCTCCGGAGGAATCATCCATATTGTGTACCCTAGATTAACATTTCCCCCAGGTTTTAGTATTTCCCGGGATTTCCAATGTAGCCGGCAACAGAAGCTCCCTGAGAACAATAAAGATCTGACGGAGAATCAAATCCCCAACTTTTTTCGACTCGTTTTCCCACAGTTCCGATTTCCGTCTTTTCTCGCCAACTGCTATGTGGCGGCCCCGTACATGTGAACGGTGCTGTGTTTCAGGAGGTAAGACTTCCGAGTGAACTTCTTCCCACACTCCAAGCACTCGTGGGGTCTCTCCCCTGTGTGGATGCCCTCGTGGCGTTTAAGATTCGACCTACGGCTGAATCTCCGCCCGCAATTCAAACAGCTGTATGTTTTTTCTCCCGGGTGGATTTTTTTTTGTTTCGCAAAGTTTGATTTATGGTAGAAACTCCTCGCGATAACGCTGGAGGCGGTGTACTTCTTAACCATGGGCGTTTTGGTCTGGCCGAGCTCCCGGTAACTTCCTCGACAAGGAACAGCGCTATCGCCCATTTCCTTGGGAAGAAATTTGTGCGGCCAAAGGAGTCTGTCTTGGCTTTGGGAAAGGTTTTCCTGATCCCCGAAGTGAGCCACCGGCTCTTCCGTTCGCCCGCTGAGCATCTCGTGCGAGGTTTCGGGCTCAGAATTCTCCAGTCCATATTTCTCCATTTTGTCAACGCCTCTACTCCCTTCACCTATGGGAGAAATGGAAAAAAAAAATAATAATAATCCCAAAGAGAGATCTAAAGAAAATGTTTGGGGAGCCATTTGGCAGTGGGGAGGGTAATGGGAAGGGAGGAAAGGGATGGAGTTAAAAAATATCCACCCAAAGGAATTGCACTGCATCCAAATATTCGACCAACTGGCCTTAAGATATCCGTTTGTATCACTCACCGGCATCTCCAGAGTTCCCCTCATGATTAGCCTCCCTGAACAGTGGTCCCTTCCCACAATCCTCTGCAGCATCCCTCACTTCCTTGAGCACCTGGAAACAGGAGAAAACATCTGTTTCAACAAGGCGGGGAGAGAGATGGAGAAGAGGGCGTTGCAAGGCTGATGACCGGTGGACGGTCCAGATGGGGTAGATGGGAAAGGGCTGGATCAGGGATGGGAGAGACACGGGTTCATTTTGCTCTCGGTCACAGGAATTAAGGAGAGGGGGCCAGTCCCTCTTGCTACCTAACCTGCAGAGAGTCAGGAAGGAGTGAAGGAAGATATGAAGGACTCGTTCCCTATGGCAAAAGGGGCTGAAGCATTTTTAAAGTCCAGAATAAGATAATATATTCAGAAGGCAGCTCAGGCAGACTCAGGGGTAGGCTGCTATGGGTTTGCCCGGGTTCAGGAGAACCTATAGCTAATGTTATGACTGGTTTGGAGAACCTCAAAATCCCACCCCCGACTGGCCCTGCCCGCCCCACCCACCCCAGGAGTCTCCATGCGACCCATTTTGGATGTGAGGTACTGTATTTTTCGGAGTATAAGACGCACCAAGATTTTGAAGAAGCAAATTTTGAAAAAAAGTTTTTGCACGATGCAGACCTCCCAAAAACAGCCTGTTTTTCAGGAAAATGGTCCTATTTTTATNCTGAGCCGGTGAGATTTGAACCGCTGACCTGCTGATCTAGCAGTAGCCTGCAGTGCTGCATTTAACCACTGCGCCACCTTGGCTCTAGGTGCCAAGGTGGCGCAGAGACCAGTGCCTCAGTTTCCCAATACTTCTAATCCCTCTCTCCCCTCCCCACAACTCACAAGTCACCCATCCATCCTTCCCGCAGGAGGAACAGGTGGTCTGGGTGAGACTAGGCCGAAGCTGCCCTACCTAGAGATGAAGCAGGCATGTGGGTGGACAAAAGATAGGGATTTTCTCTGAATGGTCCCTTCCGGGAGGTATTTAAAAGAAGGAACTAAATCCTTAAGGAAACAAAGGGGAGAAAAAAAGTTCTCCAAACCAGATAAAAGAGGTTGGGCCTCACCCCAAGGAAACCTCCTCCCTCCCTCAAAAGCCCATTAAGTTGTAAATCAGAAAGAGAAGGGCAGCTGCCAATCAAACAGAGCAAAAAAAACAAAAAACAGATTTGGGGAGAAGCCCTTAAGCCTGTCTGGCACGTAAAAGTTAGTCTTCAACTTACAACCACCGAACCCTAAATTTTCTCTTGCCACGCGAGTGAGGTTTGCCTCGCGTTACGATCTTTTGCCTCGGTTGTTCAGCGAATCAGGCGGCCGTTAAGCGAATCTGGCTCCCCCCCCCCCTTGACTTGGTTATCGGAAGTCGGCTGGGGAAGGCAACACATGGTGATCTCATGTTCCTGGGGCAGTGAAACCGTCATAAATATATGCCAGTTGCGAAAGCGTCCCGGAGTTTGATCGCACGATCATGGGAATATTGCCACGGTCGTAAGTGTGAAAACTGGTCATAAGTCACTTTTTCAGTGCCATTGTAACATCGAATGGTCACTAAGTGAACTGTTGGGAGTCAGGGACATTAGTTGTTGACTTAGGACCATTCATTCAGCGACGGTTCAAAGTTAGGACGGCACTGAACAAGTGGTACTTATCACCCATCCTTGGAGTTCCAACTTTTTCTGTATCCCAGGGTCACTTAATCATGATTTCGGGTGTTCGTTGCTGGTTTCCCCACAAGCAAAGAACAGGCAAAGCCAGCAGGAAGCCACAAACCTATGAGGTCCTCACTTAACAACCCACATGCTCCTAGCTTCACAATGAACAACTGGGATTGCCAGAATTGCTGTTGCTAAGCAGTGAAGACATGAGATTTCGCATCGCTTAGCAACCGCAATTCCAGTCCCAATTGCTATTTAAAAAAAATACAAGATTGAAAAAATGGGAATCGAACCCACAGCACCACTAGGAGAGGGTAAAAAAACAGCAGCCACCCTTCAGGGAACTTCGTCAGTACCATATTTTTCGGACTATAAGACGCACCGGTGTATAAGACGCACCAAGATTCCGAAGAGATAAGTAAGAAAAAAAAGTTTTTGCTTTCCCTCAGCCCCCAGCAGCACAAAAATGCTGCCGTTTCTGCCTCGCCCCAGCCCTGCTGAAGCCTGCCGAATGCTGCCGGGGACTGAGGGAAGGCAAAAAAGCCTCCGTTTTTGCGAAAAACGCCCCATTTTTCACAAAAATGGAATGTGGGGGGGGGGGGCTTCAGGAGGACAAGAATGGCTGCATTCGGTGTATAAGATGCACCAACATCTCCATGCTTTTTTTGGGGGGGGGGAGGTGTGCCTTATACTCCAAAAAAATACGATTTTTAAAAACTGGATGGAGACAAATTCTGAACTAATAGTAGGAAAATAAGGTAGTCCTCCATTTACGACCACAGTGGAGGCCTAAATTGATGTCGCTAAGTGAGAAATTTGTTAAGCGGGTGTTGCCTCGTTTTATGACTTTTCTTGCCACAGTGGCTAAAGAGAATCACTGCGGTTGTTAAATTAGTAACATGGTTGTTAAATGAATCTGGCTTCTCCATTGACTTTGCTTGTCAGAGAGTCGCAAAAGGAGAATCACGTGATCTCGGGACACTGCAACCGTCATAAATATGAGTCAGTTGCCAAGTCTGAATTTGGATCACATAACCATGGGGATGCTGCAACGGTCATAACAGAGGTGGGTTGCTCCCGGTTTGGGCCGAACCGGTAGTGAGATTCAGGCCTGGGTCACAGAATGGCAGCGGCCTAGGCCTGCCACGACCCAGGCTTCCCTCGCAACCGCTGAGCCACCGCCATTTTGCGCGAAGAACAATTTGCATTGAACAGCGCACACGAGGGTTGAGAATCGGTAGTAAAACTAGCATCAACCCACCCTTGGGTCATAAGTGTGAAAAACTATCACTTTCTTTTTAATTTTTTTTTTATTTGACCTTTTCCAAACATTAAAATCCCAATTACACTTTTACAGATTTCTGTTATCGGTATTTCTTTTTTTCTGATCTCCATTTTCCATTCTATTATTTTATACATATTCTTCTTTGTTTCATACTTTCTCATTTTTACAATATATACATCTATATACAATATTTCCATCTATTGCTTTCTAAACATACGCCATCTCTTTTCATTCTGTTTGCTATGTGTTCCTTATGCATTGATTTTACATTTCTTTTCAAGCCAATTATACCACCTGTTCGGTTCCATCACAAATCTGCGAAGCCCTTATCCGCGGAGACATAAGCGCGAAGACTAATTCACACCGTTCGAAGCGCTAAGGAAAAACGTGACCCTACCGCGATGACATAATCGCGGAGGGCAAATCCGCGCGTTCCCAAGCACTCAGTACCCTAAACCTAACCCTAAACCTAACCCTAAACCTAACNAAGATTTTGAAGAAGCAAATTTTGAAAAAAAGTTTTTGCACGATGCAGACCTCCCAAAAACAGCCTGTTTTTCAGGAAAATGGTCCTATTTTTATTTAAAAAAAAAAAGGACATGCATAGCCTTTAGGAGGCTTATAGTGTGCTCCTGGGGGCTGGGGGGGGGGCAAAAACAAGCAAAAAACGGCGCGTTTTTGGTCATTTTTGCCCTCCCCAGCCCTTAGGAGCACTCTGGAAGCCTCCTAAAGGCTATGCACTGCCATTTTTGCAAAGGTGGCGGGGTTTCGGGAGGCCAAAAATGCTGTATTCAGTGTATAAGAAGCCCCCAGATTTTCACACTCTGTTTTGAGGGAAAAAGGTGCGTCTTATATTCTAAAAAATATGGTAAGTGCAGGGCCTGTCTGGAGGCTCTGGGAGGAGGGAAAACGGGCTTCCCGGAAGTTCTGGAAGGCCGGAAACGGACCAATTTTCGGCCCCGGGAGCCCAGGTTGAGGCAGTTTTCGCCCTCCCAGAGGCTCAAGGAAAGCCTCCGGAGCCTGGGGAAGGCAAAAACGACCCCCTCCACCCCATGGTTCAGGAGGCTGACTAGGCCACGCCCACCATGGCCACGCCCACCCAGCAACTGGGCAGAAGCCCACCCCTGGGCAGATTCTTGTGTAGTTCACTGAACTTCGGAGGAGGAGAAGCACGAACCTAGGTGGTTACAGGTGGTCCTCAACTTACGATCACAATTGAGCCCAAAATTGATGTTGCTAAGTGAGAAATTTGTATTGTGAGTTTTGCCCCATTTTACAGCTTTTCCTGCTGCTATTGTTAAGCGAACCAGCGCAGCTGTTAAGTCAGTGACACGGTTGTTAAGTGAGTCTGGCTTCCCCATTGACTCCGCTTGTCAGGAGGTTGCCAAAGGGGAATCATGTAACACCGGGGCCCTGCAACCATCCTAGATATGAACCAGTTTTCAAGTGTCCAAATATAAATCACGTGATCCTGGGGATGCTCCAACGGTTGTTAAGTGTCGTTAACAGTTGCTAAGTGTGAAAAACGGTCATCAGTCACTTTTTTCAGTGCCGTTGTAACAGTCGCTAAATGAACTGTTGTAAGTCGAGGACTGCCTGTATTTTCTATATTGAGTCTGCGATGCTTCCCTGGGGACCTGCAGCAGTCTGTGGGAATGGCCTTGAGAGATAGGAGGAGGCAAAGCCAGATCTTAAGCAACAGGGAAGGTAGTCCTTGGCTTAAAAGTCGCCATGATGNTTATTCCTAGAAGAAACATCTCAGGATTCATGTCAATTTTTTTGTTCTGTGAAGTGGTATAGAAGTCTAAATGCTATTGCTAAACACTGTAATGTCGCCGTATCACTTTCACTTCTCACTTAAGTTTCACTTCTCACTTAAAACTATCACTTTCAGTGCCGTTGTAACTTCGAGCAGTAAATGAACTGTTGTAAGTCGAGGTCTACCTGTATTTTTCTCCCCAATTTGCGCTGACAAGGCTGGTGTTTCTACAGCTCCAAGGTGCAGCTATTCAGATATTAAAAAAATAAGAGATTTTGGTGTCACAACTCACCAGCATGGATCAAGGCTGAACAACTGTACAAGGCAGTCTTCGACTTACAACAGTTCATTTAGTGACCATTCAAAGTTACAAAGGCACTGGAAAAAGTGACTTACGGCCATTTTTCACACTTACGACCATTGCAGCATCGCCATGGGTCAAAATTCAGACGCTTGGCAACCGACTCATATTTATGAATGTTGCAATATCACAGGCTCCGCTGTTGCAACCTTCCAACAAGCCAAGTCCAGATTCAATAAAAACCGTGTTACTAACTTAACATCTGCAGAGATTCCCTTAACAACGGTGGCAAGGATGGTTGTAAAACGGGGCAAGACTTGCTTAACAAACATCTCGGCTTAGCAGCAGCAAATTTTGGCCTCAGTGGCTGGTCGTGCGTTGAGAGCCAGCTGTATCTGCCTAACAGCTTAACCTTGGCAAGTCTTTCGTGGCTTGCTATCTCAGATACAATTATGGTTCAAAGCACTGGCTGAACTCCACATCGGAGTTTTTTTTTCAGAAGCTCAAAGGGGGGGGAGAGGCAGTGAGAACACCCTGGCCTCCAAACTTCCTACACACACACAGAATAGGTTGAGCTATAAGAGAAGGACTGAATCAGAATCAGAATAGAACTGGAAGGGACCTTGGAGGTCTTCCAGTCCAGCCCCCTGCTCAAGCTGGAGATCCTATCCCTTTTTGATACCGAGTGCCCAAAGTATGTGTGCAAATGCACACACTCAAGCCCCAAGCCCCAAAATGCATTGCGAGAGTGCTCCCCACACACACACGCATGAGCCCCGGCCCTCTTTGTGCCCCATTTTGACTTCCAAGTTGGTGCAGGAGGCTTTCCATCCCCAAAGGGGTGTGTGGAGGGGCTGGTGCAGCACCCCCATGCCCCGTTTTGCCTTCCAGGTTGGCGTGGGCAACAGAAATGGAGGAGAAAGGTAGGGTGGTGGAAGCCTCTGGAGAGACCCAAAGACCAGCTGGCCAGGGGGAGGCGCATGGAGCTGGGCTGGGGCGACAGCTGGCTTGCCCGCAGAGAGGATTCTGCATGCCCACCTGTGGCATAAGTGC